AATGGTTTAATTGGCGAGAAATTGATGACAAAGTGGACCACATTTCCAAAGGTTTCCTATTTATAGGAATCAAACCCAAAGACATTGTCATGATTTTGGCCGAAACACGACTCGAATGGTTGCTCTCATGTCAGGCGTTGATGAGATTGGGATCAACTGTTGCCACACTCGATACCACATCGTCTTCGGAAGCCATCATTCACGGCATTAATGAGACACAAGTCACACATTTGATCACTAATTATAATCAGTTGAGTCAACTAAATTCAATTCTGGACGATATGCCGAGTGTTAAATGCATTGTATATATGGACGGACCAAATGAACCCAATCTCAAGAAGTTGTTCACCGAAGAGCAAAGACAAAGAGTGAGTTTTCATTCGTTATCTGAAATTGAAAAAACAGGAAAATCACATAAAGATCTGAAATGTGTGGACCCGAACTCCGAGGACACGGCTTTCATTATGTATACCTCGGGATCCACTGGTATTCCCAAAGGCGTGAATATATCGCACAAAAACCTGTTGACAGCCATTAAGTCGTTTAGCTTTTTGTCGGAGATTTTAGACGAAGACGACGTCTACTGTTCTTACCTTCCGTTGTCTCACATCTTTGAATTGGCGGCTCATCTCTACTTCATCTCCAATGGTGTGGCCGTCGGCTTCGGATCTGTTCACACACTCACTGACCGCTCAAAAGGACTCATGAAGACCACGAAAGGAGATCTCACTTTACTTAAGCCAACAGTTATCACATCAGTTCCCGTCTTATTAAACAACATTCGTTCCGTTATAGAAAAAAATGTTGACCAAAATATCTTTGCAAAAGTGTTATTCAATTTGTTTTATTATATGAAAGAGTTCTTCACAAAACACGGTTATAGCGCTCCGATCACTAGTTTTCTGTTTTGCACACAATTTAAGCCACTTTTGGGCGGAAGAGTGAAAGTGATAGCCATCGGTGGGGCCCCTCTCTCGCCACAAACTGAACACTTTATTCGCAACTGTTTAGACGTGAAGACAATTCAGGGTATGTTTGGTATTGACTGAAAAGTAGTTTCAACTAAAATACGTTTGTTATTCAATAAGGTTATGGTCTGACAGAGACGTGTGCGTCGGCCACGGCTACCGATTTGGATGACACCAGTGTTGGCACAGTTGGCGCCCCTCTCGATGGCATTCAAATTAAATTAGTTGATTGGTCTGAAGGCAACTATAGAGTGACTGATTCGCCGAACCCGAGGGGAGAGTTGGTTATCGGCGGCGATAACG